AAAAAAAAATTAAAAACCCCTCAAAGTCAGCTGTCTAAAGCTCAGATAATTATCAAGGATTTTCTGAAGATTGTGCAGTACACTTGGCACACGTGAAGTTTTCATTGTTAAAAATCCTAAGAAGCAAAAGAAGCACTGAGAACTTTAAATTCTAGTAAGACTATAATGTTCACTAGATTTCCTCTTGGTTGCATGCAAAACACTGAATGAAGAGAATAGTTCTAATGAGGACATGCTAAGGACTCCAGATTAAACTTCTACAAAGGATACGTCACTCATAGTTGCTCTTTTGTTCTTTTATATATATTTACTATTTTACAAGATGAGCTGTAGTACTGGGAAGTTTATCACAGTCTTTCTTGTTTTAAACGCAAATAAATTACTATCCAGACAATTGTTTAGAGAATCATACAAGAAGATCTAAAAATTCTAATATCTTCTTAACTCTACAGAGATCTTATATGCCATTTAATTCTTCCAGGAATAAAGCAGTTTGTTATACCATCCTTTTGCATAAACTTTCTTACTACCACACATTGTAATATTTATCACAGGGTTACCACAACCCACCCTAGAGTTTACTGGATCACCAATGATAGATGATGAGGATTCCCCACAATTTAAAACTTCAGCAGTGCATTAAGACAAAAAGGTCCACTGAGGCTCGCCACACCATTACTGCTACAGCACCACTGGAGAGAGGAAGGGGCTTCCTTCCACAAGCTCTTCCTTCTAGGCCACACATAGCACCTCAGTGTTTAGTTTTCAGCTTTCCACTGGAAGCTCCTATGTGACAGCTGATTCCTACCTTCTGTGACAGATTCCACATACACAGAAGCTGGAATTCACAGAGTTTATCTCCACCACACTCATGTACCTCAACACATGGGCTGGTTCTCTTATTGGTGTTCTACAGGCTTAGCCTGCAAAGTCTCAACTTCTTCAGGAGTAACCAGTCAGCTGTAGGTGGAACATCCATCAGGAAATGCCTTTATAAATGAGATGGTGCTTCCACAGACTCCTGCGTGCTGCAGGCCCAGTGTGGAGCATTAGGGTACAAGACTGGATCCCTAAAGCACAGGATGCAAATGCTGACTTTTAACATGCCAGAAGATTTCCTCCAGAACATTGTTCTCTTTTGGGTTCCACGGGAGCCATGAGCAAGGCTGAACTACACAAGATCACCTTCAAAAGTTTTGGTAAAGACTCCCATTAAGTAGTCTGTATCAGCAAACCCCTCTGGATGCCTGTTTCATTCTCACAAAACTCTGTTTGTGCTCAGCAGTCTTACAAGATGTGCATGAGAACATCTGCTGCCCACAGAGCTGGGCAAGGTGCTCTGATCTGACTTTCCATAAAGCTTCAAATGCATTCTGCTCCCCTCATGGCAGAGCCTTCCTCAGTCAGCGTTTACTCATTGATTTTAATGAAAAAGCAGATGAGCCAAACATCCAAACTTTCTTTCTGAGCATTTGGTAAACATGCCCCATTTCTAGCCACGTATCTTTCCCGTGGCAGATACCAGGTCATGTATTTCACTGAAGAAACAAGTTGGATGATCCCACAGAAAGTGTGCACTTTAGGAATTTAAGTGAAACCACTTGCTCTGTGGAAGGACAACCCACCAAAGCTGCCGGCTGGGTGCAACCTGCTTTCATCTGCAAGAATTATAGCTGAGAAGAGATTAGAGGAGACAGGGAGAGAAACAGACGAGACAAGGAGAGAAACAGACACATTTCTTGCAAGTCAATGCATCATTTTAAGCACTAACATTATAACTGGAAAACATGTTTCTACCTTGCATGCCTCCACAGTAAATAGCATGGACTCCTACCAAGGTTAAGTCTAGGACAGCTTATGCCATCTTGCATGGTGGTTATGCCATGCAACGTTCCTATGAATCAATATCCAAAGTGTTACACACAGCAGGTAACTGTCCTACAAGGATACAGATAAATAGTCTAGCTTCTTCCACCTGTTATTTAAAAGATTTGCACAACCAAGATGCACTTGAATGCATTTAAACATATACAGTGTCAATTAGAAACAGGAGTCTACAAACAAAACTCTACTGGAGGCTTGTTTTTCTACTGACAGTATGTATTTAAGCTACCAAAGGCAGCTCTATCTGACCTATCCCAAGCATTGTTGTAAAAAAAAACCCACAGTTTATTATAAATGGGCTACTCCCCCAGTAAATCATTATTCTCTTGCTCTCCCCTTAAAAATTATCCATAAAGCCTAGTATGAAGCTCTACCTGAACTACACGGTTGAGCAGCAACCCAAGGTTGCAGGTATGCACCTTTCAAAGTTCAGTACCTACTGCACAGCATGCTTGAAAACATCCTGCTGTCGTGGTGCAGAATGAGATACTGCAGAGTTCTGGTCCTGAGCAGCCACTTGCAAAGGAGGAAGAACTGGGGCAAATGGGATGGCAAAGAATGAATGAAAGCATTTCAGGGTAGGATGGAAGGAGAAGTATCAAGTATAAACAAGATGGAGAGAATTAAGAATATCAGAACAAGGGACTACGCCAGTAGTTTTTAAAGAGTCATTTACGCCTTAGAGACATAATGCTGGAAGAATGACATTTCAAATTAAGGCTACAATACATTCCACAGCATACAAATTTGGGAAGATACAATAAAATCATACTGTAGGAACATACATTGGACATCTTAGTATACACATCCTCGCAAGGGGAGAAGACAGTGGCTCATTTACCCTCCATGCCATGGGGCAGGGAGCTTCGGTGGGCTGAAATGAAGTGGACCGCTTTAATTCAACTAATGCTTTCAGCTGAGCAATTCTTTTTTCAAGAAAGAACTGCTTATTACTGCAAACCAAATCCAGATACTTGTTTGGGCTATCCTACACACTCTATGAATGTGTGGAAGAGAAACACACATTTTCAAGCTTCAGCTCATCACCATTAGGCTTTGTTACTATCTCCTCCCGATTTCACTCTGCATTCAGAAAATGGATAAAAAGAGGGAAATCAGAACACTCTACTCTAGTTCAAACTCAATCTGCAGCACACCATGGCAGCCTGTTCCACATCCGCTTTCACCTGTGAGGTCACAACATACACTTGGGTACTCTAACCACTCACTTCATCGAAAAAAAGCCCCAAAACACACCTTAAAACTTGTGCTCAGTAACCCAGTGGCATATTTGTATTTGAGAAGAAAACTCTCAGAAATCTCTCTTTCAGGTAAATATTGGCCTGCTTCCTCTCCTTCAATGAACCTCCTTGCTTTTGAGCTCTCATCATAAAGTGCTTCTACCCCACTATTCCTATAATTCCATGCAAGCTACTTTATGACTTACTTCCAAGCATTCATACCTCAAAAGGCATCCAATTAGTTGGGGTACTGACTATGAACTTGAAAATACAATAACAAGACAACCAACATTTTAGAGTAAGATAATGAACATTCTGGAGGAAAAACAGACAGAATTAGAGATTTGTGCAGGAAATCTGGTAAACCTTTCAGCAATTCAAAACAGATTGGCTGTTTGAAGTGACACAGTTCCCAAACTTTATTTTGCTATGCTGTTTTTTGTCATTTTTGCCCTAAACTCAAAAATGCAACTCAGTATCAGGTACAATTACAGATTACATCAGGGTAGCGTGATAATCAGCAATACATTTCTACATTCTACTAGGCAGAATTTGAGAAATATTATTATTATCTATCTTCCCTGAGGTAAAGTTGAAAAGTCAGCAGCTGCTGAGTGGGTGAACCTACAGTTTACAGTGAAGTTTACCAGTAATTTCTCTGCTACAATGAAGCACTTTGAAAATGACAAAAGTAAAAAGGGATCTGTAACAGAAAAAAGAAGAAACAAACAAACAAAAAACAAACACATACTTTCAAAACTATTTTAAAGACAGGATTAGGACAAGTTAATGCCTGCTGAGTAATTGCAATTTGAAAAAAAATTAAGTTTTTGACTATAGACATTAATAATAGCCTTTGAAAGAGTTTTCATTTTAGAATAAGAATTCTAAAAGCAAGACCCCATTAGTAAAATTTTAAGTGTTACATAGTACTATTGAAAGGCCATGACAAAAACAAGTTTCTGGTTTCACTTGACCAAGTGTAAGTGTGGTCTCAACACTCCTTCCTGCTGGCCAATGTTAAAAATCACCCTTGAAGCTACCACCTTGACTGTGACATGCACAATGGAAAAGCTCCCAGCTGTCAGAGCAGGTCTGAAGCACATGCACTCAAGCTTTTTAATACTTACAAGGAGAGAAGAAAATTGGTGGAATGGCAAGTGGAATGATTTAAATCCAATCTTTATTAGTAATCCTCACCCTTCAATTAGTTTCCTACTGGAAGCTAGCTCTGTGAGACACTTCACTCAGAAAGCAAAGCCCTATAAATTCTGATCACAAGACATTCCACTAGGGAAAATTCAGACAAGCCTGGAAAACCTCTCAGTATGCATCCCTGAATGTAAAGAACTGAAATTAGAAAGGATCACATTCAGTGCCTCTGTTCTCCAAAATCTGACAGTTAATCTCAGCTATATCAGAGAAGTCAGCTTTACCACACTCACACCAAAACCAGCCAGGCAGAGCTGTGGCTGGTCTTGCAGCTCAAGGGGTGCGAGCGTAACCGCGGCTCCAGCGCCGACGGGGACCCCTGTGACTGAAGAAGTTCCGCCACGCCCGACACCCCTCGGCTCTAGTGACTACAAGCACTGCCTGCAACTGATCCCTGAAATAGTTTTCCGCTCTGCATATAATTTTATTAGGGTTATTTTTGACTCTGAATTGGAAAACAAATGAAGTTTGCTTTTCAGTTGTGTTTATACACCCAGCTAAAAAGCGCTCTGCTGCTCTACAACTGGAAGTGAACGTTCCCATAGGGACACCCAAGCACGAGCAGCCAACGTGCGCAAAGGTGCACGCGCCTTGTTCACACACGGACAAACTGCCAAGCCAGTGCAAGAATTTCAGATGCATATATTTGACTTGTCTACCATGGACAACATGCATGTTCCAAAGAAACACCTCCCCAGGTTTAATACCATCTGCAATAGTAAATGGATACACTATCCCTCTGGGTTTTCATCTGGTTTAATGCAGCTGGCAGAAAAATTATGTAGGCCTTGCTGTTCTACCCTCCAACATCACACACAGGAGTTTTTCACTTAAAACAAAAAGTTTAAGAGATTAAGGAGGATTGACTAAGGTACTAAAAAATACTTTAGCCAGTTACATAAACTAACTGTCAAGCAACTGAGTTCAATATTTTTTTCGTGAGACGGCAGTAACTAAAATACCACATTTTGCGATGCTTTATTACTGTAACCCCAAACTATCATAATTCATAATGTTTACCTCATGTCCAGCACCTATTGCTGAAACGAACCAAAGAGAGAGAAACTCCAGGAGGCATTTATGCTATGTGGAGTTTTAATTCGTTTTAGCAGACAAAAGTAAACTTTATCTCAAATGCTTAATAAATCTCTCAGTTTTGTTTTTCTGAAAAGTTAACAGAAAATAACACTTCAGTGCTTTTGCACAAGGTATCCAAAATTAGTCTCAAGTCCAGCTCCACTACAGTGCCAGGTGTCGTCCAGCAACTGCTGAGCACACACAATAGCAGCAAGATATTCAAATATCCCTGCTGTCTCCTAGCTGCTCAAGCAAGAAACAGCTCTGAAAGAAATCATATTCTCATTTGTGGTGTTAGACTGAAAAAGCATGTGTGTGTATGTACATTCAGATGTACACAAAACAATCTTAAAAAACCTCAAATTACATGGAAATGCCCAAACTATTCTGAAACTAATGCAGGACTCTGAGAACCTTAGAAACAAGTATGTCAATACATGGATTTCATAGCTGTGTCCTAAACAGTTCTTTGGGCAGAAAAGTTAGAGAAATAACTGGGGGACATTATCAATGTCTTCTGGGTTGCCTTTTTTTTCCCCTTTCTTAACTAGCATCCAGTGATTATTTTGTTATTATCCGAGAATGGAATTCAGAGTGCAGCCACCTGATTACATAGCTACCTAATTTTCTAACCAAAATACAGGAATTACCTATAACTCGAGAGAGATGAAACACAGGAATTACAGGTTTCCTTCAATAATGGAGATTTTTTCCTCCTCCACACACACTCTCAAACCCCTCATTTCTGCAAATGCAGAGAGGATAGTGGGCAGCAGAGAAGCTGAAGCCTTGGGGCACAAAGAAGATTTCAGCTACTGTGAAAAACAAGCCCCAAGACACCTTCCCCAAAACCAAACAAAAGATGGCATCTCCAGGAGGACAATGACAACCCCCAGCCCCACCAGCCCCCTTGCCCATGTGTTTTAAGGGTGCCAAGACACAGTACCTTTGCCTTTTGCAGCAGTGCTGCTGCCAACTGAAGAGGATGCCTGGGTATCCTTCTTCAGCCTCTTGCTCTGAGGTCTGACGCTGGACCTGAGAAAATGATGCTGGTCCTGGCTGTGGGAGGGCTGGAGGGAGGCCGGGGCCTGTGATAAGCTGGGGTTCGGAGGGGGGCTGCTGTTAGTGTTGTTGTTAATAATCTTCTCTTCTTTCTTTGTGCTGCTGCTGCCTGGAGCTGCCTCTCCTCCTCCTCCTGCCCCTTCTTCTTCCAGGGACTCCTCATCTCCTCCTGCTCTCTTGCCCAGCTTTTCAGCAGAAGGTTTTGGACTTTCCTTGTTGCCCTCCCTGCCCCGCCTTCTCCCCCCCTCCCCCCCCGCCGCTCTCTCCCAGTTTCACTGTCATCCTGTCGGGGAGGAGAAAGAGAAAAGAGGGGGGCACAAAGTCAGGCCTGGGAGCCCCTCAGAGAGGGAGAGAAATCCCTGGGCTGAGAGGGGAGAAGTTTAGCTGCAGAAATTCCTCTCAACATGGCCGCCGTTG